TAAAATTTAAAGTTTAAATATTGTAATTTAAATAACAACCTATATAAATTATCTATTTTCAGATTTAGTCTAATGTTTTTGACATTTGTTTTATAATATGATTATATAAATATTATTATCGAAAAAATCGTACATATTACAAATGTATTTGTGATTTTACATTAATCTACATTATTTGAAATAGTTTTAAAATAAATTATTTACAAGTAACATGAGATAATATTGTAAATATATAATCAAATTTAATGTCAAAGGCTTTGTGTAATGCACTGAAATACTATAAACATTACCATAAATAACACACATTTCAATATATAAAGTGCTTAAGTGTGAATAATAAAATATAACTTTTGTTTCAATAACATTTATCTCGAGGCGATATAAAAATCTCAATGAAATATGTATTTCCATTATTTTATATATTTTGTTTGACTTTTGTTACTTCATAGAAATAATTTATAAAGATTTGTGTGTTGGTATTTGATCTTTGTTATATTTCAATCATAATTATTTTTACAAATATAGTTTGGTTTTGTAGTAAATAAATTCACATAAAGAATTTATGAACAAAATATTAGTCCCAAATTCAGACTCTGAATATAAATAGTTACAAAAATATTTGTACAAACTTTTAGTTCATTTATGTGCCCTATTATGTGTACAGGATTATTTACTAATTATTGCACTAATTATTACTAATTATTGATTAGTGCACTAATTAACCCCGAGCAATTTTAAAGTAAATAGTGTACTTAAAATAGCGATGTAAAGATGTTTTCGAGAAATTCAATTAATTTATTTTAAAGAGTTAGTCCAAAATATTTACCATAAAGTAGCGGTATTTACCAAATATTAATGAAATAAAAAATGTTTTGTGAGGTTTGGAAATATTTTAGAATTTTTATATCAATATATATAATAAAACCATTTATATAACAGACTCTTATATACAGTATCTATTATTTAGTTAATACGTTGTAATAGAAAACTTGTGAAAAATAGTAATACTTTTATCTATACTTCAGTTTAATCGTTGTGTGTGTGTGTGTGTGTGAGAGAGAGAGAGAGAGA